AGGGCTACCCCACTAAGGATCACTAAAATATCTTCCAAAACTCGATTTTGTGCAATGAACGGTGGAAGGGGACTAGTCCAAAGGCATAGAGCTAGAGTCATCAAAACACACTGGATGATAGAAACCATAGTTCCAAGTGGAAAAACCATAAACAAACAAAAGAAAAGCAAACCGTGGTGGGGTTGCCTCCCCACAAGCGCTTCTTTTACGTCTTTAGCTGGACGCAGAGGGTGGATGCTTAGAGCTGGTGGAGGAACAAGTGCCTCCAAGAGCGGATCCACATCGCTCTTGAGGTACAACTTCAGATGGTGGCCATGCACACGACGGGTGTGGCCACCAGCACATGTCAGCTCGACCTGGCTATCCGGTAAGATGCAAGCGAGTGAATACTCGGATGGCCAGGGCTGTCGTGGCTCAGGAGCCAGGACCAACTCATTGTGGTCTCCAGCTTTCTTTTGAGTAGGCTTAACTACCTGCACTCCTGTAGTTTCGGCTGCCACTCCTCCTTGATCTTTTCTTTTGGTAACGGGGCGGACGGGAGTGGCGGCAAAGGAATGGGAGGAGAGTCCTGCAAAACAGAAGGCACGGAAGGATACATGACACACTCGTGCACCTGGTGAGAGAAAGCATGCACAGGCGAGAGAGCAGTCATATTATTAGCAATGGAAAATGTTATCTTCTCCTCGCCATCTCTCAAAATCAGGGTCCCATCATGAACATCTATGAGAGCCTTGGCGGTGGCCAGGAAAGGCCTACCTAGTATAAGGGGTATTTATGCGTCCTCATTGATGTCCAAGACAACAAAATTCACAGGATAAAAGAATCTGTCAACCTTAACTATGAGGTCTTCTACTATGCCCCTAGGATGAACTAAAGATCGATCGACTAATTGAATACTCATCCTAGTTGCAGTTGGCTCACCTAGACATAGTTTCTTGAACAAAGTATAGGGTATAACATTAATACTAGCACCTAAGTCCGACAAGGACCTCTCAACATGCATTTTACCGATAGAGCATGGGATCGTGAAACTACCTGGATCCTTCTGCTTCTGCGGGAGCTTGTTGTGCATGATGGTCGAACACTCCTCGCTAAGCTCCACATTGGCCAGCTCGCTCAGCTTCTGCTTCTTCGAGAGAAGGTCTTTCAGGAACTTCGCATACTTAGGCATTTGAGATAGTGCCTCCAGGAAGGGCACTTGAACATTAAGCTTCCTAAGCATGGACATGAAGTTCCCAAACTCTGCCTCTAGCCGGTCTTTGTGCATATTGGTGGGAAAAGGGAGCTTAGGCTTATATTCAGCCACTACTAGTTGGGGCTTTGGGGCCCGAACCTCTGGCTCCTTTTCCATCATCAGGTCTTCTTCTGGCCCCGGGGTGATATGCGTCACCTTCTTTGCACTCCTCGGCGGTGCATCTTCAGTTGCAATCCCACTTCTCAGCATGATGGCGTGTAACGCCTCTTTATGATTCGGTAGGGTTGGTTAGGAATTGTGCCAGCCGGTCTGGAAGCAAGGGCATCTGCCAGGTGCCCGATTTTGGTGTCCATATCCTGCAAGAGTGCCGTTGGTTCCTCTAGCTAGCTTCAATCTCCATGAATTTGCCTGCAACCACTTTCATGAATTGCTCCAATTTATTGAACTTCTGGATACTAGTGATGGCTAAGGTGGTCACTACATCCCTCGGTTCTGACACGTGATCACCCGGTGCTGGGACTGATGGAGATGCCCCAAGTTGCTGGTATTGATTGTTATTGTTGTGGGGGCTGTTGAAAAGCATGCCCTTGTTTGGGCTGGTATGGTTGTCTCTGGTTTTGAAAACTAGTAGCATGAGCCTGGAAGCCCAGTGGTCTGGGATTGTTGTTGCCACTCCATGATAAATTTGGATGCTGGTGCCACCCCTCGTTGCATGTATTACTGTAGGGGTCGTTGCGCTGAACATAACTAATGAAATTCATCTGCTCCTGTGGTGTGCTGGAATCTCGCATGGTTTGGTAGTCCTCCACCCTGTGATTGGTGCTCTCACACCATGGCACTGCATCGCCTACTGCTACCCTGTCCCTAGAATCATCTCATTATGATCGATGGCTGAGACCAATTTAGACACAACCTGCACCAACTCAGACGACTGGGTGGCTACAACATGCACACCCCTGCATGGTGCTCGCCTCGACCTTCTAGCAGTACCCCAGTCATATCCCTGCTATGATATCTCATCAAAGAGTTGGTTCAACTGTGGTGGCGTCTTAGTTAGCATGTTCCCGCCACATACCGAGTCAATCAGTTGCTTATTTTCGGGGAAGAGAGCTCGGTAAAAGGTGCCCACCTTGAAGGCGTCATTGAAACCGTGATTGAGACACTTTAGGAAGAGATTGGTGTATCTCTCCCAAGCATCCCAGACAGTTTCGTCCTCCTCCTGGGCAAAATGGGTGATCTCCTTCTGCAGGTCCACTGTCGTTTGATGGAGGATGATAGCGGGTGAGCCACTCCTTTGCTTGCCCATCTAGAGTAAATGGGAAGTATCTCAGCTGGATGGCGTCTGCAGGAACCCCATTAATCTTGATCCCATCGATCAGCTCGTGGAATCGCCGTAGGTGCAATCTGGGGCACTCCCAGCCCATTCCACGGTGCTGGATGGGCGACCTCATGTCTGCGGCTCTAGCAGTCCAATAGTATCCCATGGTGTGCTCCTCGGGGACAACTGTATTATCATTTAGCAGGTCGTCCATTTCTTCCTCCTCGGTGATGTGCAGTTGCTCCAAAGCTTCCTCCACGGCCAGTCGTGCCTTCAAAGCTTGCTTGAAGTTCCTACAAGTCCGTTCAAGCTCCTGGTCCAACGGCAATAGATCTCCCGACTGGCTATGGGTCATGCACTACCTGCACACATACTGCAAACACAACATGTGAAGGCACACAGGTGGAAGAGAGATAATGCACTAAAGAAAATGCTAAAGTAACAGACTTTCACGTTTCTACAATAACCTAGAACTCCCCGGCAACAGCGCCAAAAACTTGACATGCTAGAGTCACTCAGGAATGAGTCCCCCTAGCTCCTTAATTAGGTTCAAGTTGTAATTTCCTTTGGTTGATTTACCGTTGATTAAACTGCGGAATCCGACAGTAGCTTGGAATCTCTTAAGCTGACCAAGCCCTCTTAGATAGACTACCCGACAGACGACTAATCTTCACAGGGATAGAACGCTAAGGCAATTAACACAAAACTCCACTACTGGAAACAAACTCCACTACAAAGTAGTGAGTTGACTGACTCTCGTACAATTAATTCACTCCTATCGATTAAAGAAGCTCTAACAACCCGATCAGATTCTATCTATCTCAGGTTGCAGTAGAAATCAAGAGAAGTTGATCAGGATTCAATTGACTCAATAAACACATTTCAATTGATTATAAACAAATAGTATATCAATCCAAAAGTCATTACAATCATGATCCCTAACACATAAAACTAGGATTCTTCATACCCAAGTGAGAGAAAGTTCTACTCCATAGAGAAAGAGTAGAAAACAACAATAAGAGGAATCATACTCATAACGATGTGTACGATAAGCTCTGGGGTGATAATCTTTACTTCAAGGACGAAATCCAAACTTGATTCATGAAACCCAGCTCCAGAATCAATCCTAGAGTTTGTTCTTCGCACTTTCTCTCTCTAAGGCTCTGTTTTTGCTCTGAAAATTCGATTCCCTCTTCAAAGTCCCGAAAATGGGTTAAAACCTAGAATTCCACGATCACACGGTCGTGCGAAATTCCCAACGTGCCTGTGTAACTCTAAAAAACATGTCGTTTGATTTAGTGACTCGTGGTGCGCTGCACGGCCGTGTGGAAATCTGGCCAGCCAATGTGAAGTCTCTGGAAATCCCACACGACCAAAAGTGTGCCCTTGCACACCAGTACGGCCCTATCGTGTGAAAATGTTGTCAGCCTGTGTGGCTTCCTTTTCTTCCCATCAACCGTCCAAACGTTGTCCAACCGACCCCCGAACTCGTGCCCAAGCCTTCAGTCACGTACTAGGTCCTGAAATATCACAATCAAGAACATCCTAGCGTGAAATCGGTTTAAAACACCAGAAATGAGGATCAAACAGTATAAGAATGGTGGACAAAAACGTGTGCAAATATCGAGTTATCAAGAAGTGAATGTCATTGCAGGCTATCTTGTTGATTTGGGGCATTTGTTTTAGATTGGCTTTCATAGAGTTGTAGCACCTGACAATGTTTGACCTCTTGGTTGTACCATCGCGTTATTGGAGTTCAAGCAACTCACATAGTTATTGAATAAATGTTTCGGTGCCTTTTAAGCGCTCCGTTTTTAATAATAATAAAAAACTAGGGATGATAATGGTTTGGTTCGAGGGCGGATAGTGCATATCCGTTACCCTACTTAATATAGTTCAAGTTTTACCCATATTCAACCCATGTAGAAATTGGGTGGAAAATCAAAACCATGCTATACTCTTTCGGGTTTTGGGTATCCACGGTTATCCACGAGTAGCAATATCTCTTTATAACTTCAACCAACGTGTTAACATTCGCACATATACTCACATTATATAAAAGGAAAATTATGACAATAAATCACTAGAATGAAGAAAATTAATTAAGAACTACACAATTTCATGAAAATATTGTATTTGTATGCTAAATATAAAATATTTTGAGAAAAATAATGATAATTTAAAGACAAAATATATATGCATGTGTATCATCGGACGAACTCGATTTGGATAGTGAGAAAATCATACTCACCCACTACCCGCAATATTCGGATTTGAATTTCACTCGTACCCACTAAATTTTTTTCGAGTTCGAGTTTTAACCTACCCATTAGGACGAATTTGATAGAATATGAACCGTTGCAGACATTTTTGCCATTTGAAAAAGCTAAGATTTTGGCAGCAGTCGATTCAGCATCACCGGTCTCCAAATCTAACGGTTCTGCTTTCAACTTACGAAACACACACAAAACTAACAATGTCCATAAGGCATAACCTTAGAGGTGGGAGCTGGCGCATGTGCAAAAACCCTAACTAAACCCCCTTCCCCGCCCTCTCTTCGTTGACACTCACCATATAAATACATCAGCTTACTTCCTCTCTTTTTTCTCTACCCTAATTGTCGACTGAAAATATCTCGACACTAGGGTTTGGAGAGAGCTCAACCTAGTTCTTCTTCTCAGATTCTGTTACAGCTTCTCCTTCTATCTTTCCCAATCATCTGAGTTATGGGCAAGTCTAGTAAAAAGGTATACTTCGGTTTGGGTTTCTTCTCTGTTCCCGCTCTCTGGGTTTTGGTTCTTACTGTTTTGCGCTTCTGATATTCTTCCGAGTTTTGGAGCGTGGCTGAGTATGTTAAAATTGTCCCCTAGGTTGACGCTGCTCCCGCTATAGCTGTCGCCGCCAAGCCGGCTAAGAAAGGAGGTAATTATTCTCATTGGGTTCTTTGGAAATTTTGTATGGGTAGTCTGTAGTTTTATGGGCAGCAGACGATTAGGTTTGCTGTGAGATGATTATTGTGTTTTTTATTGGTGAAACTGGAAAGCATGGTCTTTTATTGAAACCTTCTAGGGTTTTCTGTAGGCAAGAGGCAGGCTGAAGAAGTTTTGGAGAAGGTTGTTGCTTCGAAGAAGCAGAAGAAGGAAGAAGTTGTGCCACAGGTAGTTCAGAAGGAGAAATCTAAAGTGAAGACCCAGAAGAAGAAGAAAGAGGAAACAAGTAGTTCTGAAGATGACTCTTCCTCTGAGGAAGAACAGAAGGTTATTTCTTTGGCCCTCATTGTTCCTTTTCCGATACTTTAGCATACAGTGTATGAGTTTGCAGATGAAGGCTTAGTTATTTACAATGCCAGGTGCATTGAATTTGTTTACCAGCTAGTAGGTGACGTCTCATTGCTATGAACAGGTTACTGTAACAAAAAAGGTTACCCCAGCTAAGCCCCCTGTGGATGAATCAAGCAGTGACGAATCCTCTTCATCTGATGATGTATCATTTTTGTTACTTGAAAATATAATAATGTAATAATAATAATCATCAATGATTCATCTTCTGGGTTTCTTCTAACTCTCTCTTGGACTTGCAGGAGCCTACTCCAGCAAAGAAGCAAGCACCCCTTAAAAATGGGAATGCTGCTGCTGCTGTGAATAAAGGTAAAGTGGAGAGTGAGAGTTCTGATTCTGATTCATCAGAAGATGAGGTGAGTGTCATACACCTTTATGTTGTAGTTTGTTAACATTTCATCCTTCTGATTGATAATCATTGTAAGCTTTCCATGTTTAACTTAGTAACCTTCCTAACAGTTTAGTTTTTATTATGCTCAGAAGCCTGCTACCAAGAAAGGACAAGCAGCTGCGAAAAAGGGTGGCGCTGCTGTGCCTGCCACAAAACCAAAAGTAGCTGAGAGCAGCAGCGATGACTCTTCTGAGGAGGATTCTGATTCAGATGAGGTAATGGATAATAACTTCGTGAAGTTGCGGGTTACTTGCTTCTCACATGAATTTTTGTTCCTAGGCTTGACATGAATAGGGTTTGGTAATGTTTAATCTGCTGCAGTTTTATTTCTCCATTTTAATGAGATTGCTGTAATCTATTATTAGGAACCTGCTGCCAAAACGGCTGTTTCTCCAAAGCAACCTGTTGTTGCAAAGAATGGGTCTACTAAAGCTGCTTCTAAGAAAGCAAATGCAAGTGAAAGCAGTAGCTCAGATGACAGTGATTCTGATGAAGAGGAGGCAAGTGAAAGCACTAGCCCATTTTTTTACATGCAGTCTTATTTCACTTTTCACATGAGAATTCTGCACTTACAAGAGATGCTGACTTCATTTTCCCATTACTAACCAATGCAGGCTGCTCCTGCTAAAGTAGCTGCTGTCAAGACTGCTCCTGCACAAGCTGCAAAGAAAAAAGATGCTTCAAGTGAGAGCTCTGAAGATAGTGATTCTGATGAGTCATCTGATGAAGACGAGAAGGTGGTTTGTGATCACCTATCTTACTTAAAATGACTTATTTATTGCTATCCATTCTGTTACAGATTTCTGATTCTTTGTAATGATGTGTAGGCTGCAGCTGCCCCAAAGAAGGGTACTGCCCCTGCTGTCCAAAAGAAAGCTGAATCAAGTGATAGCTCCGAGTCTGATAGTGATTCTGATGAAGACAAGGTAATTGTCAATATTCAAGTCTATAGTGCGTTGTCTTGACTGTGCTAATCCTTTTTATCTAGTCAGCTCTCAGTATCACCTATTTTTGAAATCCAATAAGTTTAATGGACTGTGAATGATTTAATGCCGTTGTTTTAATACTCTATTCTGATTTCAGCCTGCTGTAGCCAAGCCAGTTGTTGCTACAAAAGCTAAGGAATCAAAGGTGTGTATCTATTACTTCTGAGTGACATTGGTTGTTAATTGGTTTCGTTTTGCTCATGGTAATTACGTTTTTTAAGTTTTTCTTGTGTTTATGTGGTTTTTGTCTCTTTGCATCTATATGTTCTTCCATATGTAAGAGAAATTAAGATCTTTAGATTCCTTGTTTTGGTTCTGACAAAGCAAATATGGTTGAATAAATGTGAAATCTTATTTCTTTCAGTGATCAACATTTAGCTTGGAATATATATATTGTAATTTGAGGCATAATTAATATATCTGGGTATCAACTCACTTTTATGTTCACAATTGTGTGAAATTCAGGATGCTATGGATGTTGACAAAGATAGCAGTGATGAAGATGATAGCTCTGACGAAAGTGAAGATGAACCTGCTGATACAAAGGTGAACAACTGCCTGCTAGCATATGGTGATATGTGGTGTTGCATGTTGTCCTTTTTGTGTTAATTAATTATTCTTTTCTTGGTGTAGAGTAAGGTGACTTCTAAAAAGCAAAGCAGCAGCAGTGAAGAAGACAATGAAAGTTCTGACGATGAGAGTGAAGATGAAAAGCCTGTAAAGACACCTGCGAAAAAGGTATTGGAACCATCTGGTTTAGATATATCATCACTGTTTGTTCCTTCGTGCTCAAAGAGTCTGCATATGCTTCCAACAGCTTTCGGATAGCATATTTTACGATGGGTTCCCTTGTTATTGGCCAGTTTCCCCCAAACATCAGAACACTTGTCAAGCATATCAATTGGGTCTAATGCATCACTCTTTTTTTTAACAGGATGTTGTGATGGCTGATGCTCCAAAGGAGGTAAAGGAACAATAATTCTCTGCATTTGATTTTGTGTCCTAACTCTTAACACCTTCACTTCAGTTTTTTGACCAAATAGGTTATTTGTTCTTAATGGCAGCCCAAGACACCTGTTACTCCTAATGAGTCTGCTGAAGCTTGTACGCTCTTTGTTGGCAATTTATCTTTTGATATTGAAAGAGCTGATGTGTAAGTAGCACCTTTCAGCACAGTTCAACATTTTTAGCAAATTGGAACTGTTATGGTTTGGATGCTGATGTATTTTATTGTATTATATTATTTACAGGGAAAATTTCTTCAAGGATTGTGGGGAGGTCACAGATGTTCGTTTTGCTATGGATGCTGAGGGAAATTTCAGGGGGTATGGACATATTGATTTTTCTACATCTGAGGAAGCAAAGAAGGTGCATATTGATACTCCCAGTGTTTCTTCATTCTAGGCAATATAAAAGAAATTGAGCAACTAGTGTACAAGACAATTTTTTATCTGATGCTGGGTTATCTGATCTCAATTCCTTCTGGCCTTGTGGGTATATCAAGTCCCATTTTCTATCTGATTATACCATTTTGTATAGCTGTTAATTTTAGTTATTTATCCGCCTTGTCCAGGCTCTTGAGATGAAGAATGGGGAGTCTTTGAATGGTAGAGGCGTTAGACTTGATCTTGCTCGTCCAAGGGGCGAAAGGCAAACTCCATATAGCGGGTACTTCTTTCTTCACTGTATGTGCTTTAACCAGAGTCATGTAGTCTTGATTTTTTTACTAACTGGGAGCATCTATATACCTCTGCAGCAAAGATAACAACAGCTCATTCCAGAAGGGCGGAAGAGGTCAAGGCCAGAAGGTATTTGTTCGGGGGTTCAATACATCACGTGAGGAGGATGAGGTAATTCTCTTTCTGGATGCATTTGTTGTTTGATCTCTTTTTGTGGTGTGCTCATTCTCTGTGCTTAATTTTCTTTTGCAGATTAAGAATTCTCTATCTGAGCATTTCAGCTCTTGTGGTGAAGTGACGTTTATCAAGCTTCCAAAAGATTATGAAACTGGAGCCTTCAAAGGGTGAGTATTAGTTCTCTTGTGTAAAGTTAAAGGTGAATAGATAGAGCTTTGCATTTTCATGAACTCGTTTTGCTGTCTTCTGATAATTTGATTACCTCTAATCTGCAGAATGGCCTTTGTTGAGTTCTCTGATACCGACTCTATGAACAAAGCTTTGGAACTTGACGGGAGTGATCTTGGAGGTGACTATTTGACTGTGCAGGAGGCCAAACCTAAACCAGATGGTGATGGCTTCAGTGGTGGTGGTAGAGGCTATGGAAGCGGAGGTGGTGGTAGGAGCTTTGGTGGTGGCCGAGGTGGAAGAGGATTTGGTGGTGGACGAGGTGGTGGAAGGGACTTCGGTGGTAGGAGTGGTGGCAGAGATTCCGGAGGACGTTTTGGTGGTAGACGTGGTGGTGGTAGAGGTGGTGACAGAGGACGTGGAAGGTCCAGTTTTACTCCTTCAGGTAAAAATAGAATCATAATGCCTGTTGTTTGTTGCCATCACCGATCTCTTATATTCCGAAGTTGATTTTTGTAACACGATTACCTGTGAAACTGCAGGTAAGAAAACTACCTTCAGGGATGACGATGAATAGACCTGTCAAACGCGGAAGAGAAGGACTCTGCAATGGGTTTCTTTTCTTTCCCGAGTCTCGATAGGAAGAAGTATCTTGATTGCTCGTGGCAGAGTATAAATTTCTGTTTCTGTGTGAACAAAACACTTTCGTTTTAGTTTTGTTTTTGAAGTCTTGGTGGTCGTTAATGTTACCGTATCTCTATATTTGTCATTCCAGCAAATATTTATTATATGCCTCTTGAGATGTTCTCTTTCATTCTATTGAGAGAAATATGGTTGTATGACAAAAACTTCCATTTTGTAATGGCTAATACAGTAGAAGAGTTTTCGTTGTCTCTTCTGAATTTCACATTGCTTAATATTGATAGCTATTCACAATGAACTTTGCTTGAGGACCGCCCTGGACATATACGAAGCTGAGTTCCTGGCCAGGTTTGAGGACCTTAATCCATTCAGGCAACTCATAGGTGTTCTTTTGTGGTAATGGGGTGAGTCCCCAGAGGGAGCCTGATAGGTTTTGTGCAACCATCTTGAGGCCTGTGATCGACTTCTGAGATGTGTTCTTGATAGTGACCTTGTGTCTGTAATATGTTGTGGATCCTACAGTCCATGTTTTAGTTATGGAGTGCAGAAACTCCACTGGAACGTGTTCTTCCTCTGCTGCTGCTGTAACCTTCCTGGGTGGTTGTAGGTTCTTGTGATAGGATCCTGTGGAAATCCGGGTGAACATTTTAATTAAGTTGAACCGGTTCTAGTCGTGATAAGAAAGCTAGGAACTGTACTGACCTGTTGGTGCTGTGTAGTGCGAAACTTGCGTGGTTTTTGGGTAGCGGCCTCCACTTCCTGATGCACTCTGGAGCTTGGAGAAGAGACCAACAAGGGGAGCACTTGCACAAAGCGTCGGCTCAGTCTGCTCGTAGTTAGACCTTTGATCGTTGAAGTTGTCATTCTGATCAGGTCCTCCCACCAGGGCCCCATACACCACATTGGGGTTCGCTTCTGGCCGACGGTACCATGAGTCGAAGCCCTGAACACACTCGACAGTTGACCGGAGCAGGAAGATGGAGGCAATGGAAGCGCCTCTGTGGTGGACACGAATTGGGTACTGTTGTCCATAACCAACCACGTAGCTCATGGATTTTGGGTTCTTCCCCAACATGTAATCAGCCTGGGATTTGGCGAAATCGAGAAGCACCTGAGGTTGAACGACCTGGCCCTTGGGGCAGTTCAGCTTGGCGCCATGGGAACTGAGGTACTGGGAGTAGACAGCAGTGAGGAACGCCGCAGCAGAGGCATACTGCAGGTTGTTCCATTCTCGTACGTACATCAGGCCTCCTGGGGTTTTCTGGATGTTGTAGCCATCGTTCTTCTGAACACAGGAGCAGGCGAAGTAGTCTGCTTTTGCTTGGTATTGCTTCAATGTTGATGCGTACTGGCTGCCGCGTCCTTCGAGAAGTATCTACAGCCATGGAAAACTTCAATGTTAGAAGGGAATGGTTGGTGGGTTTTAGAAGAGTGACAGGCTATTGACTTCAGTAGTAGTTTTATTACCTTAGAAAGGAGGACTTGAACGCCTGCATATTTGTTGTCCCAAGAGAACTCCTTCACTGCACATCCAGTTCCGCCCATGTAGACAGCATTGTCCACAACGTACTTGAGGTAGTAGTCCTCACCGGTAGCGCGGTGGAGCCATGCCGCAGCCCAGAGCAGCTCGTCCTGATATCAACGGAGGGCTCGATTATGTTAGAGAACAGGAAGCTACTTGGCTGTCAAGTAACAAAATTCGGTTTACGTTTGTGATGTGGTAACTGACCGAGTAGCCAGAGGAAGTGTAGAATTGCTTGGCGTTCTCGATGGTGTCGTCGTATAGACCTCTGAACCTGTCGGCGAAGGAGAAGAGCTGCTTGGCGTGGGACAGGAGGAGGTTGGAGTAGGAAGAGTTGTATGGCTTGAAGGCCAAGGAAGCCGCGGCTAACGCTGCAGCCGTTTCGCCTGCTAGGTCCGAGCCAGGATGGTTCTGGTCAAGCTTGTAGGCTGTTCTGGGAGTCGTCATGTCCTCTGCTCTCTCCCAACAGTAGTGGTCCGAATTGCCATCTCCAACCTGTCAAAATCAGGTTGGTAAGAATATGATACCATATGACAAGAGATACTTGGACGACAAGAAATGGAGGTGACAACAACACTAAAACAAAACAGGTTACCTACATTGAATAGAGAAACAAAGAAGATCACTACTGCGTAAGCTAAGAGTTATTACCTGAGCCCAGAGAACATTAGGCTGCGGATGGGCCTTGACGAAGTAGTCGGTCCCCCATCGGATGGCTGCCAATGTGTTGCTCATTTGGTTAGCAGAGGTGATCTCCTTGTTGAAATCAATGGCGCCCCAGGCCATCATGGTCACGCTGAACGCCATCGGCAGCCCGAACTTGACGTGATCCCCTGCATCGTAGTACCCTCCGACCAGGTCCGCCCCTTGGGAGTGGCCATCGCGGAGGCCCGAGTCGCCGCGCCACTTGACCCTCTGGGCGTGGGGCAGCTTCCCGGATCTCTGAGCCTCGAAGAACAGGAAGGTCTTGTCGAGCGCATCGCCGTAGTCGACGAGCCCTTGGACCATGCTGCTGCTGCATAGTAAGATGATGCAGAGTGCTGAAGCAGGGCTGCTAATGGTGAATAGCTTCATGGCTTTGTTCTTTTTGATGTGTGTGGCTCAATGTTTGGGAAAGATGTGGGGAGCAGGACTTGGGTGGATGGGGTTTAGGTTTTGTGTTGGGGACTTTATATGATGTGGGTTTTGGGATTTTGGAGGGGTTTGGTGGGGGGGATATTGAAGCAAAAGATTGTAGCCTCCACGTTGTGGTGTTCTTTTGAATTTTGTTAGTAGAGCCTCTCACGTTTGTTTGTAGGATTTGCGCTTGGCACGTTCCCCTTTGATTCCTCTTGTTTAAATTATTTTGAGTTAGCTCATTGTAGCCGACCAAATTATGATGTCATAAGATTTTTTCTATCTATCATATCCAAACCATGGTATTAAAATCGTAATTATTGTCGAAACCAAAAGTAAGAAGAGATGTAAAATGATGTACCAAACTTACTTGTGTGCGATTCGGAAAAGACCCATATGCACCATACTCAAAAGTGAAAAGTTTCTTACTTATAAATTTTATTAAGATATTGTCTATGTTTGGCCCGGCTTTTAAAAGTATTTTTCGACTTCAAAACTTGAAGCAGAGTCGAACACTTCTAAAAGCTCGGCTTTTGAAAAGCCGAAAAAACGCTTTTGTATAACATAAAGTAGACGCTCCGATTTGCAGCTTCTGAGAAAAGCTGTTTTGAAAATACAAGATTATCCTTACAATGTTTTAATTTTAGTTCAGAAAATATAATTTTATTTCATTATATTATTTCGAAAATAAAATAAATTACAAAACCATATTATTTAATATAATAATAAAAATCTAACAAGATCCATTTTGCCTACTTTTTACTATTCATAATTTTTTTTCTTAATTTATGTTATAATTCATTTATAAGTCATTTTACACAAACTCTCATATAAAAAAGCACTTCTAATAGTTATCCACCCAAACACTCAACTGTTTTTTTATGAAAAGTACTTCTTTAAAAGCTCCAGCTGCTTCTGCAAAAACTACAGCATAGTCAAACTAGCCTATTATTTATAAAAGTGAGAGAAAAGAAACAAGATTTTTAATATGAGATCCCTTGACGGATATAAATAAGGGTGCTCTATCAACCTAGTCAGATATTCTCTTTCTAGGTCAAAGCAGAAATAACAGGAATTTGATCAGGATTCATGCCATTCAACAAATTAGATCTCAGTTGAATATAATCAAATCAATGGATTCATACTTGGGTTCATACAATTAGACCTAACACACAAATCTAGGGTTCTTCATACCCAGGTGAATGTGGAGTTACTCCATGGAGAGAGAAGCAAACTCTAGCTCAGAAGCGAAAAACATGTTGTGAAGAATGAGGTTCTGCTTCTGGTCGTCAATCGACACTTCTCCAAGCGTTATTCGGGTTCCACTGATGATGAAGATCGATCTAAGGCGCTTGGGAACTCTGGTTTGTCGCTTTCTCTCTCTAGGTATCACTTTATTTCTCTAAAACTCGGAACTCTCTCAAAATTGGCCTTCTTTCCCTTAAAATCCAGCTGCTCGCGATCCCCGGCTATAATCCCCGGTCGGGTATTTTAGGTGCCCGGTCGGGGATTTCGAAACGCAGCGCAGCGGTGAAGGCCTTAATACCCGATCAAGATCAAGAATACCCGATCGGGTATTTTTGCTCTCTGGCCGGGACCCATTCTGTTTCTCGATGACCAAAATCGATTTTCCCCGGCCTCATCAGAATTTACCTGGCCGGGTATTATTGCTCATGGCCGGGTTTTTTTGCTCTTCCAGCACCCTTCAACTCAAACGCCCTCCTTTTGACCCAAAACTCGTTCCTTCGCCTTAACGTCAACGCCAAGCCCTGAAATATAACATAAACACACAACCTAGCGTGAAATCGGCTTAAAACACGAGAATCAACATCTCAAATGGCTCAAGAATAGGGGTATAAACATGTGTAATTATTGGTCTGTCACGGGCTCCCGACGGCATGCCTTCACCCGTCGTACGGTTCCTGGCGCCCGGGCCCGTTATCGTTCCCGGACCCCAGCTCCCGGGCTCCGCAATCCTCCTGGGACCTATGCACACCATTGCCCCTCTCCCGGCGGCTCTGCCCTCCTCCAAGCACCCGGGCCCACCATTGCCCCCGCTCTCGGCGGCTCCGCCCTCCTCCAGGCACTAGGGCCCACCATTGCCCCCGCTCCCAGTGGCATGCCGTCACCTCTCGTCCGGGCCCGTTATCGTTCCCGGACCCTGGCTCCCGGGCTCCATCCTCCTTCCGGCACCCGGGCCCACCATTGCCCCGATTCCCGGCGGCGGGCCTTTACTTCATGTATGGTTGCCTGCACCCGGGCTCTTTATCGCTCCCGGACCCCGGCTCCTTGCCCAATATCGCTCCCGGACCCCGGCTCCTCCCTCCTCCCGGGACCCGGGCCCACCATTGCCCCGACTCCCGGCGGCGGGCCTTCACTTCTTGTCTGGTTCCTACCTGCACATGTGACATGCCCTCTACTCAATTAGTTTGCATGTGGCCAGAGTGTTCCCTTTAGGCAGAAACATGATTGACATGTGTACAACCACGTGGCGGGCGAAGATGGGCCTAGACGACACATGTCCAGTGACGTGTCCTTCCTTTATCTGCGACGCCGACATCTGTCCTCCCGCTGTCCCCCCCAGGCAAGAGACCAGGGGAAGTACCCTAAGAGCGCCCACTGCAATCAGTGACTCTCACCCCCCGAGCTCACCTCCTGCAAACACCTTGTAAACTACTCAATCCCTCACACTAGGGACTAACTTTTGCGGCGGAGGGTGCCCCGCCAAGATCGGCCGGCGAGCCTTTTTTTGCAGGAAGCGATCGGAGGCAACGTCACGAAAGAAGGTTACTATAAAGGGGCACTTCAAATCTCTTCGGGGCCCAAGATTGAGGAAGACGACATCGGTTACAACCCCGACATCAACAACCTGATATTGAAGGATACGTGATATCAACTCTCTGTTCGTGATGGAGTCCGAAAGCTCCCGCCCAGCAGGGGGAAGTAGAGACAAAGAAATGTCTGTCCAACCTTCTGTTGAGGAACTCCAAACTCAAATCGAGCAACTCAATGCACAAATCAATACGCCGACCTCGGCTCCTCCTCTCACTAGCGTACATGGTAGTTCAAGTCAACAACAAGAAACCCCTGGAGGGTCCGCCCAGCCAAATGGGAAGTCGGCTCCGCCCCCTCCCTCCCTCGCGACCCAACCTCTCCTATTTGGAAGCTCATCTCACGCCAGGCTTCCTCGGTGATCGCGGTCATGGAAGGCCCTTCGCCCAGACTATTCTTGAGCAGCCTAATCCTCCCAATTTTCAAATGTCGCACCACCTGTCAGAATACTACGAGACTTTCGACCTGGAGGATCACCTTAGTGCATTTCAGATTCTGATGCCCTTCGTGGGGGCATCTAACGCTACTATGCGCAAGCTCTTTCTTGCCACCTTACGGGGGGTAGCATTTCAATGGTACCCTCACCTGCGCAATAAGTTAATCAACAACTTTGAAGAATTTGCCACCCTCTTCCGTGCCAAGTTCTTCGCTCAGAAAAGACCTAATGTGGATGTCTCTCGCCTCATGAACACCAAGCAAAGAGAATATGAGACCCTCAAAGAGTATTATGCCCGGTTCATCACGATTGTTGTCGGGGTAACCACTCTCTCCACAGAGAATGTCACACATGCCCTCATATTTGGACCAATAATGCCCTCCTCCGAGCTTCACTTATAAAGTGTCGCCCTCGCAACATGATGGATCTCCAAGAACGAGTTTCTAAGTACATCGCCCTTGACGAGACTCTACAGGTGGCGGCCCCACATAAGAGAGGCCGCTCGCCTCCACTTAAGCGGAAGCGTGATTCCTCACCTCCAAGAAGCACAGACTCACCCCTAGCTCGTGAGTGCCCACGTGGTCGTTCGCCAACGACATAGACATGGGGGTTGTTCGTCGATGGTGCCTCCAACAAGTCCAGGGCAGGCGTCGGGGTTCTTCTAATAAGCCCCCTCTATGTCACTCATGAGTTACATGTGAGATTCACATCTCCAAAAACCAACAATGCCGCGGAATATGAAGCTTTACTAGCGGGACTCTCCATGGCACAAGAACTGGGGGCACAACGTCTCATCGTTCACTCAGACTCCGCACTCTTGGTCAATCAGGTGGATGAGACTTTTGAAACACGGGAGCCGACACTCATGGCTTATGCCAATGCCATGCAGGCGCCTTTGGCCAACTTTATCGATGCTCGTGTCTTCCACATTCCACGAGAAGAAAACCTTCATGCAGATGCCCTCTCCAAACTGACAACTGCGTGGGATTTTTTGGACGAGAGACATGTTATGGTTGAACGACGGTCCGCCTTGCTATGCTCTCAGACAACCACTTTGCCACTCCACCGAGACTGGTGCACGCCAAAGATCGAATACCTCCAACATGGCATCCTTCCGGCCGACCATAAAGAGGAAGTTTGCTTGAAGCGTCGGACGCCTTTATACATTATGATCGACGACACTCTGTATCGGAAGAGTTTCGCATGCCCATATCTCCAGTGTCTTAGTGCGCGCGAGGCCCACTTTGCTCTCTGGGAAGTTCACCAGGGGACATACTCCATGCATGCAGGTCCGCGTAACCTAGAAAAGACTCTCCTTCGTTAAGGGTATTACTGGCCAACAATTCGGAATATGCCCGGGAGTATGTTAAGGTATGCACCAAGTGCCAAGTAGCCGCCCGAGTACTCCGTGCGCCCACGACACCAATGCAAGGGATCCTCAGTTCTTGGCCTTTTGCTTAGTGAGGAATGGATTTCCTCAGTCCTTTTCCCGAGGCACCCGGGAGGAAAAAGTATTTGATAGTCTTTATCGACTATTTCACCAAATGGATTGAAGCCGATGCTCTAACTGGAATGACCACCCAACAAGTTGTGAAGTTCCTATGGACCCACATCATGTGTCGGTTCAGCCTCCCTCATACCATTGTGCTGGATCAAGGAACACAATTCAAGAGTCAGGACCTCCAAACGT